AAAATCAGAGAAATTCAAAATGTCGGACGTCGACAGCAGTTAGAAATGCAACAATGGTGGGACAAGGCTGAAGTACATTCTGCCGACCACATTCGATGTATTCCCGATACAGTCTCTCATTCCCACAGCCAAGCTCTAGTAGATGTTGTGGTCGTCGTACCAGTGACGTCGTTGGTCCGTCAGCCCTGGCGTGTAGCTGTACCGATTCAGCACGGAGGACGGATCACGAGTTGTCGACCCTGCTAAGAATACACTTTGGTTAGGATCAAAATCTTTCCAGATGGAGCTTAGATCCCCTCAACGTAGAAATGGGAATCTGAAGCCGATCTGTCTTCATACCTGGATATTTCCTGTACTGGGGCACATAGGCCTCTCTCGCGGCAGCCACATTTGTGGAGGGATAAGCGCCATACACCTTGTCGTTGGTGATGCTTCCCGAGTAGCTGAAACTGCTTAATTTAGCTGCAAATCTCTTTCTAGCAGATACTATAGCTGCTCCGGCACCACATACCGTCCTGTGTAATAGTCGTTGTTGGCCAGAGAAGAGGTGGCGGCTGAGTTGTCATTTTTGCGGAAAAGCGACTTTATTTTCTCTATCGGCGAGCTCGGTCGTTGTTTGAGATGTATCATCGTAGCTGAATTTCACAATTTTCCCAGCGATTCTTAGCGGAACACTTCAAATGTAGACTTACCCATTGGTTACAAGTTTTCCATCTGTACCCATGCGCACCTCGCTGGTTCTCCTCCTATTGAACGATAGTATTGAGCGTTTTTTCTTTGGATCTGCAACGATTCGCTCAATTGCCACAAGTAAGGAAAACGAAAGCCAAAACCTACACTTCTTCAGCGCTTCGTTCTCCCCCCGGGCCCTTTCTCTGCCGGTCTGCGCGCCGTGATCCGCGGCTCTCTCTCGCTCATCCAGACCCATATTCTGACGTGTTGAGGCGCCGTCTGCAGAAATCGTGATTCAGTTGTGCTATGCACGAATTTAGTTGAGACTAGGCCATGCCGCGCTTACCACGACTTCCGACTGCAAAGAAGGGGGAGGGCGAATGGTCGTATTGATCCGGACAATAGCTTGCTAAGGAAAGGATGGTAGGTCGAAGTGGCCGTATAAAATGAGATGTATACCACCTGATGCGTCTCTAGACGCTGATTCCAAATCTGCCTTCCAAATCTGCTAAACGGCTCTCCGAACGGAGTTATGAAGCGTAATAGCTCAGTGGTGATGGTCCGGGGTGGCAGGTAAAAGCTCGTAGGATCGGTTCCTTTGCAAGTTTGTTGCTTTGCTTTTGTCCGCAACACTTCTAAGCGGAGACCAGTCACGAGTTGCCACCCCTCTCGCCGCCGCACTTTTCAAGCTCGGCACGTCGGCGGAACATCTGTCCGTGTTACGCTCGCGACCTCCCCAACAGTCTCCCTCATCGACACTCTATTCCGCGGCTGTACTCTCGACGACCAAATCCGCTCTTCACGTCGTTGCTGCAAACAGGCGTGCGGCAAACTCACCATCATTAGTTATACGATTCTCGACACCGTCTCAATTCGACATCCAACTATGCCCCTCCGTCTCACTCAAGCATGGCGCCAAACTCCGCCCGGGACAAGGTTCGAAAAGTTGGTTTCGGGTTGCCCTCAAGACAAACTAACACATAACGTTCACTGTGCAAGACAACTGGGAAAAATTAAACCATGTAGGCACAAAACGAACGTGGGATAGTAGATAGGTAGGAAAGCGGAGAAGCGAATAGTGAGGCAAATCGACTTCTTGCCTCACTCAGTCTCTTTCGGAAGGAGAGTCATAACTGATTTCTTTTCCATGAGATTCATTGAGGCAGTTTCATAAGGAAATCGTTAAATTGACTGATTTCGTAGGGTTCAAAGCAATGCATCATTGGAAGAAACTTTCTTTTCAAAAATGTGCACCTACCTGTCTCTGTGGGGATGTGCTCTTCTCCAAAGATAGATGCCTTCTCAAGCGATCAATGACCTAAAATAGAACCGCTTTTTGCGGTTGAATAAAAACAACTGGTAGAAGAACTCAGATTGCAGCTGTCACAAAGGCGATGTTTTGAAGAAGTTAGGAAAGAGCTTCACACCGAGAGAAGGAAATGAAACTTATAGAAGCTGGATAAGAGCAGAACGGTCTCAAAGGCAGTGCTTCTGCTAGAGATATATCAAACACATATTCTTCTGAACAGCCACGAAACACGGTTGCAGACCGGATTCTTCTTGAAGCAAAAAGCATCAAAAGCTTTCGAAGTTTTTCGAGAAGGATTTTTCAACCAGGTCTTTGCGCACACACTGTAGTCTCATTCATTGGCGGAAAGGGATATCGTTACCGGACTAGGTACCAGATTATTTAGTGCTCGTTTCTCCATGGGTTTCCTACTTCGAAATGATACGGCATTTTTCTATTTACTAGCCAGGAAATCAAAGAGTACTGTATTGAGAATGACTCAATAACATTTTCTTCCCGACTAGGATGATTTTCAGAATTTTCAAGATAGTTCTTTTCAAGATTTTCAGGCTGTTCGGTTTGGTCATATAAGGAATGATACCTTTACCCTAATAATATCTAGACCTAAAGAAGATAATATAACAACATACTGATTTACATAAGGTCTCATACAGTGAGGAAAAGGTAATCTCTCGCCGCTCCGGCCGGTCCATGCGTCCTCGTGGGGGACTATTTGAAACGGGCATCTAAAAACTGTTGGTATGGCAATAGGACCAGCCAGAAGAGAGGAGAAATATATGTCCAATGGAAATCAATACATGCTACACGTTCTCCTCTAAAAACCATCCCCCTTCCCCCCCCCCTTTAGGCTTAGTGTCAAGTTCTGTACGTGAATTACTCACTTCATTGTCACCCCTTACGAAATGAGCGTCTCCCCACTTGAGGAACTTTTGCGGAGTATTTTTAGCTTGATGTGTGTAAAATGCTCCGCTTTTTGCAGCTGTAATCAGAGACGAATTTTTCAATAGAAACTCTTTCTGGTACAGCTAAGTTTGGTGAGAGCTTGAGCATTATCGATTCATCACTCCCAAAATCTCCACCTTTTTGCGCACGTATGTACAATCCTACTCTAACAAATTTACTAAGACTTCACCTAACCCACAACGGCCTCTTTTCAAGGTCCTCCTGCCATCAAAGAAAAATAGCTGAGCCTTTCAAGCGGTACTACTTCCTTCGCGCAGTAGAATGTTGAATCAAATGGTGGATTCTGTGCCCCTCACCACAATGGAACTCATTGAGACGGTTCATGAGAACTTTTGTACGAGACACAGGATTTACTCTTGCGAAGAAACGTAAGGTGGGAAACGACTATCAAGGGACTGGTTACCTTTAAAGGACGAATTCACGATGAAAAAGCAACCCATTTCAAATTAACCTAGGGATGGTGAGTGGTACACGAAAGAAGGAAGAACCATGAGAAACGGCCCAGAACCCGAGAAATGGTACCCCTTCCTTGCCCGTTGATTCGAGCATTGATGCGACTCTCATCGCTGTGCCCTCTTCAACACTACGCTCTCTCAGCTATCTAATCACTCGCCACGTATTGAACTACGGCGAGTGATCAGATGATCGGTGGGCGGAGATCGCCGGACCCGCCAGCTTTGAGGCATGATAGGTCGCCGAGGTCAAATTTTTCCATGCGAATTGCGCGTCAGTTCGCACCCTCAGGAGGTCCGTGGGTCCCTCAACTAGGTCAGTTTCCCTTTCTTCGACCTTCATTCTAATCGTGAATTCCTCCTTTAAAGGACGAGTTCACGATGAAAAAGCAATCCATTCAAATTAGCCTAGAGATGGTGAGTGGTACACGAAAGAAGAAGAACCATGAGAAACGGCCCAGAACCCGAGAAATGGTACCCCTTCCTTGCCAGTTGATCCACAAAGAAGGAAGAACCGCCGAGAAACCGGACCCAGAACCTGAGAGTGGTAACCCCCTTCCTCTGCCCGTTGATTGTGCTCGTTGAATCGCGAGGACAGTCCTTCAGTCAACAACCACTCAAGGAGGTCCGGGTCCTTCAAGCAAGTAGATCAACCTTCCTTCTCCGAACTACTCATTCTGATCCGTGAAGTCGCTTTAATTATTGGTAATACCAACAAAAGTACAACTTTATTGAGATGTCGAATTTTACTATGTAATCACCTCATCTAGTTTCCAAAATCAAAAAAACGATAATTAATGAGTAACACGGTACATAACAGTCCTCTCAAACTGATAGAGGAGCTCGGTCCAATATATGTGAGGAGGGGTGGGGGGGGGAGCGGTTCTGCGACAAGTTCAGTATTGTGCAGCTACAGCGACCTCAATTTTTGCAAGAGAAAAAAGCTCCAAGATGAGTGTGAAGCGTAACAAATCCTTTGCCTGCAAAAATCAGATTACTGTAGGCGCAGGAGCTGTCGCAGTCTATATCGTTGCCCGCCTCCCCGCCCCTGCCGCCTTATGAGGATGACTCCTAATCACGATTTATGGTAGTGACTAATTTGTATCGACTGCTTTGAGTATATCACGAATGTGTTACGGCTAGCATGCCATGTTCACTCAGGCTTACACTTTGCAAACAAACCAAGTAATCGAGTGAGTGGGTTCATAATAGTTGTTGAAATAGTCATAGCGTTCCACAAGATTAGCCTATTTACAGAAAGTGACCAAGTTTTGGAGCGGAAGCACTGCCTTCAGGACACAAAGAGGGAGGGAACAGATTAGGAACTAAAGGATAGGGGCACAGCACACGAACCGAGCGCACCGGCCCGACACCACTGCTTCCTTCTCCTCGACTGCCAGCCTCGTCGCCTCCACCTCGCTGCTCGACATCAACACTCTGAATTCAGCCAACATAATGACACTCTGGGTTGTTAGTCAACACTGTAACCTAACAAAAGATACCCTAATCGTAGAGAGCGCCTCTGAGATACCTGCATCTTTAGCAGCGATCTTGCTGTCCCTTTTTCGTCTCTGGTCAGCGCTCAGCTCTACGTTTGAATAGTGTCATTGATAGTTCACGTAAGCATAATCAGCAACCGGTTCCGGTGTTATGTGTCTACTTCTGAGCTGCGCTGCAATACACACCATAGTTTTCTCGCTCATTCGAAATGGTTCTATGGGAAGTCGGGCAAGAACAAAATTGGGAGGGATATACCGGAAAGGCAGAAAAAATTTAAAAAAAAAATCTGCTAATTTCGAACCACAGTTGCTTGCGGTAAGCAACCATTTGGAAAGATGAGTTATTATTAATTTTGAAGGCATCGGCTGCACACCTGCATAGTCAAAGTCTTCTCCAAACCCTTGTTTTCTATCCATCGAGCGAGTGCGAATATATGGCCTATCGGTCTCGCTCTTGAAGAATCGCCGAGCTGTTGGACGGAACCTGAACAAAAACTTGCGATGATGGTTCATGAAAAGTTACATTCAAATTCATTTGCGTTACTAATTGTAGAGTATGGTCAGTCACAGACTTCTCCCTCTGAGCGCAAAATAGTACCAGAAACCCTGGGAGATAAAAACAATGTATCGCGCTGATGGATCCTATCCTACCATATGGATGTAATCCGCTAAGCGGTCGTGCGTCTCTGTCTGTTTGCCCGGAAATGCGTAGTTTTCTCTACACTTGCACCTTGGAATCTGTCCGTCATAGCTTATCATGGGGATGAAGTATTTGGATGACCATTCATCGCCAAATCCTACCAATCTTCCTGGGACGCGCCTCGCCTTCTACTTCTATTCAGAATTACAGTGGCATTTTGAATACGAGAACGACTTGCGGAAACCAGCCGATGTACGAAGTCAGTGTTTTTATCCTTCCCAGACAAGTCTGGTACCAATTAACCGACCCCGGAGGGATGGAAGGCTTGGTTGGCCCGGACGGTGTGTGATACCAGGAATCGATGCCGGGCCATGCCCGTGTTAGGTAGCGTCAACTGCCGCTGTACCATTGCCACCGATATCCTAATATGAGAATTTAATCAAATACCTATTCGGAATCGAGGCGCTTGTCTCTTGAGAAATGGTAGTTGAGGAAGGCACGTGATAATCCGTTGCCGAAGTTGCTGAAACACAGTCATTTTTGAAGGAACTCAATGACAGCGTTCAAAAAAGCATAAAAAGCAAATCGATACCTCCTTTTTCGTACTCGTACGGTATTTTCTTGTAAGGGTAATTGTCCTCGAATCGGTTTCTATATGTTTCTCCAGGGCGGTATGCGTCAACTTTGAACGAATCTTCTGGCTGAAAATTCCTACATCTAGGTTTCGTAACGCCTTCAGCTCCCCAAAGCAAACTCAGAGGCAGACGTCCTGTAAGTTTAGACGTACCTTTCTATAGGCAAAAGTGGTCAGTGGGCGATCGCTTGCGGTCGAGTAGTACGAGGCCGGGCGGTAGGAGGGAGCGCCATTGCTAAACAAAAAAAAACTAGTTTCCTTATTTGCTGAAATTAGCGGAGGCCAAAAACAAATCCTGAAGAAAGAGCGAAAACAAGAGTGGAAGAGTGAAAAGGAGATTACGGTGCGTGAACGTTTCTCTCGGCGTCTCGCTCAGCCCTGGTCTTGTACACCTCGAAACGTCGCGGCTCGGACGCCCACGACTGATTCTGCAAAACAACAAAGTTATTAACCTATAGATTGAGAGATTTCAGCAATACCTCACTAACGACACAACAACTACAGCCATTTCACTACACCATTGCAGCCTACCTGCTGTCAGAGCTTTGTCTGACGAAGACCAGCAACCTTCTAAATTCCCTGATTTTCAGGTTAAGGTCTATGTACTCTAGCAACGTAAATAAAATAGTACCTCGTCAAACTTTCTCGTGTAGCTCGGACTGGCGTTAGACGAGTAGTAGTAGTTACGAGCGTCACTAGCAACATAAGGCGCGGTTCTGAATTGAGTGAGGAATCACAGTTAAAACTGATCGTGAGAGGTAAGTGAGCGCTCGAGCGAGCTTACCAGCGGTGGCCTTACCAAGGATGGAAAAAAACAAGCGCTAATCAGTGAAAATCGCCACGAAAAGGGGAAGTAGAAAGTGCAAAGATAGGGGACTGCCGAATGAAATCAGGTGTTGTTAATGTTCTCCCTCCTTATAGGCGGCTTTTATAATGGAAAGGTAGCTTATTGCAAATAAGGGTAGCAGAAGTAGGGATGAAGAAGAAACCATGTGAAATAGTCTGGAACCCGAGAAATAGGATCCCTACTTTTCTTTTCTTTATTTTCCATTGATGCGAGCTCTCTCCGCCGTCTTCAATGCAACGCTCTCTCTAATGTCGCGCGGACGTTTCCGCCAATTGCGTTGAAGAGAAAACCATGCCAAAGCGCCAGGGTCATATCCTTCGTTGCGAATTGCGTATTGAGCCGCACCCTTAGCAGGGTCCTCCTGTCCATTCACTAGGTTAGTTTCCCATTCTTCGACCTTCGTTCTTATCGTGGAATCTCCCGTTAAAAGATAACAGTTGTATGCAAGAGCAACATTACTCCCCAAGAAAGGAAGAATATCAATCGAAAAGTTACCTACCTGAAGTCCAGTCGCTCTGGTGAGTGATCATGAGCACGAAGTTCTTCGCGAGCTACCGCGGCACTCTGGAAATGAAACACTGCTGATGTTCTTGACGTTCGCTCCTCGAATTCCTCCAACACAATTCATTTTTTTCGTTTAGTCACATGTGGCGGAAAGTTGATGCTGTTATTTTCTGGGATACAGTAATCTATAATTTAACATGGCTCCACTTTTCCAAAATTGTAACAGGTTTTCAAAGATTTTCGTTTTTCTTTCTAGCAGAAAAAACCACTAGTTCACACAACTGAGAATCTCGAAAACCACTGAAAGGATGCAATCCAGAGCGTGAGGTGAAATCTACAGAAACCAGGTTTATCTTTCTGCATTACCCTTTCCAACGCTCCCAAGGCCTAGGCAAGATTGTGAGGTTTATCGTTGTACTTTGGAATTAAAACAGAAATAAATTCGCAATACCGTAAGAAAAATTGTTAGTAAAGTCTATCTAGAAAGTCGTTTTCAACCTAAACCAGTTTCAAGATAATTTATAGCGGCGACGACGGCAAGATGCTGAGAGTGCAGACGTAGCTTTTTCCATGACCGGTTCAGCAACTAAAGCGCTATATAACGCTTCCGCTCGAAATGAGCGACATAAAACTAAACAGATGCACCTTCTGAAGCCATCCCTCTCTATGTTTCTATTGGAAACTGCCGCATTTTGGATCAAGGCGAGAAAACCGATTTGTTGACCATTTCATTAGAGCATTCCCCCAGGTGAACGTATAAAGCTCCTAAGGGAGGCGAATATCCCTTCATCCCACATTGCTCTATTTATGTTTCATCTAATCAAATTACCTACAAATGATCGCCGATTTCATCTTCAAAAGGTGCACAAGTGATATTTGCTCAAGTAATTAAGCAAATATTGAAGAAAAAACAGTAGGAAAAATGTAACGTGAGCGTAACGAAAATGCTCCAAGAACCGAAGAAGCAGGCGTTAAAAAAATAGGGTTCAAAATTCATACATGTTTACACAAACCCATTCGGGACAGCGGAAGATCATTGGTAGCAAGTGCCAAAGGTGAGGACCTTGTTAGGGTCAACGAGTCGTTCGTCCTGACGAATTAATCTGTCACGGCAAACGATGCCATAAGCGCTCTATTTACTACTCCAGGGTACTGCCTAAGAAGTAAAACGACCATTACCCTTTCTAGCTATCTTAGAAAGTTCCTGTTGTTCCGAGAAAAACATCACGCGTAACTTAGCTGTTTTCCGGTGGAAGTCGACTGCGCAAGGGGTTTTTAACTGCCATACTGAAAAATGCTCTGCTCATCATCCGCCCAGCAATTAACGCTTTGTAGGCAACAAGTAGGAGCTTCTCTTAAGATTTCTGAACTGTAATAAACGCCTCTCGGTCGCAAAGGACCCAACTCCTGCGCTACGGCTAGCAATGTTCGAGGTTAATTTTCTTCTATTTCTACTCCTTCCATAAGCTGCGACTAGTAACTGATTAAGTCTGTTTCCAAAGAGTTGCTCCCTTCAGTTTTCCTAATGAGATGACTCACGTAGCGATTAGGAGGGGAGTGCGCTCGCTCATCTTGTCTTCTGTAGCTATCATCGTGATACCGTGGACGGACGTAGTTGAAAAGCGAGGAGCCTGGCAGAGCTAAAAATGGAATTTTTACATCCTCTCTAACAAACAAGATTTTGATTTCGGTAGACATTTTACTGTTTGAAAGGCATAGTTTTTCTATTCCGCCACATAATTAAACAGATCATTCCAAGATAACATTCATGAAACCTAGTGCAAAGTATACAGTTCCGAATGTGTGTACAATTAATTCCAGCTATGTGGGAATTTGAGTTGATTCAAAGACAGGATACACGACAACCTAGTTGGGCACAAGAGCAAATCTGACCAGTGGGGAGCAAAATCGGAATGCCTAAAGTCACTCAGCGTATCAGCGTATACCCGAAATACGCAAGCCCATTTCTAGTTTCGCGATTTAACTTCATCAAGTTTGATCGAATTTTCGTCTTTTCTCGGGTTCTGAGGAAACAAAAGAGACTGCGGAAAGAATCAAACGTGGATGGATGCGCAATTCTTTTTTGGTACAATACTTTCACAGCGAGTGACGAGTGCATGACCACCCTAGCGATGCCTCGGTCGTTGCGCAGTGAGCTTCCCGTCGACGCCTCAAAAATAGGCTCCAGAGGCAACCTGATGAGGGGCCGAAGTTTATAAACCTATCGACTCCCACAAGTGGAGGTGCCAATTGAGGGGTGCGCACAGTGTACGTAGGTGTCTGGCTTTCTCGGCTCGTTCCGCTTGCGCTTTTCTTTATTATAAAAACGAGCGGGCCAAAAATCGGTCTCAGGACATCTGTCAACCGTGAGCCTTGGCGGTTCAGCGTTTTGTAGTGATGTCTGGGAGCTCTCACAAGTGCACACTATCACAGCATCTCCTCTTTCTTTATCTTCTTCAAAAGGCTTAGTCCCAATAAGACACAAAGTGTGTGCTTTTC